AAGGAAAAGTGCAAAGGGTCAGGTGCGTCCGGGGCAAGAGAAAGAACTGGTCATACCAAAGCTACAGGTGATTCAAAATATCAGTTAGGGAGCATACACGCGCACAAATGGCTTTTATCGCGATCCAGTGAACTCTTTTTATTGAACAGAGACCACGACATTTTACGATTTTGTCGTCTCAAATTGTTTGTTTGTGACGAAGATTTCCCGAGGTAATTTACTTGGTTCTTGCGAAGAGAAACCAACATTCAACAAATTGTTCATAGAAAGGGCGAAAGGGTTGACGAAAATCCTATCTTTGAAAGGTAAAAGTACAGTTATTTTATCGCAGTAATCTCGTGAACCAAAACCGATAACGATAACAACGATAAGAATAACTTGAAGGCTGTTTTCGTCTGCTCGTTCTGTTTGTTTAAATTCAGCTTTACCTGTGCAGACGCTTATCACGCAATCACAATTCGAGTTTGAAACTCTACCGTATTTGCTGGTTTCGTGGAAGAAAAATCTTTGCAAACATGCTGCATCGAGGCTTTTCGATGAAGTTGACATTTTTAGCGAGAATATGCCCTGTTTCACGGATAACATTCTTGGTTACAAAAATTATTTGGACATATTTTTTAATTACTTATAATTAGCTATTTTAGTATGTAAATAGAGGTGGCATAATTTTAGGAATCTCATATGCTATAATCTGTGAGCACGCTTGGTCAGCGCTTTCTAAAACTGAACTTTTGTGATATTTGAGCAATGGTTTACTTACAGTCATACGTGATCGTGCAGGGTAGTCGCTTACGAGAAGCGGTCTCTGACAGAGTCGACTGTACTAGGTTTTCAAAGAAAAAATTTATCCGTTTTTTTGTTCAATCAAAGGCCTTTTAAGAGTAATTGTACGGTAAGAGTCGGGGTAATAGGCCCTTTGCAGCTGGGGTCACGTGACTAATTTTTTCCTAGAAAATTGTTATATTTGGGCTATAACCAGGAGCCATAATCGGGGACGGAGACCGTAAGCACGCGCCATTTCTAGTATTGGGGTTGTCCCCATGATA